TTGAGTTCTCTAGTTATATTTTTAAGAGATGATTTTTGCCTATTAAAGATAATAATGTGTTAAATATATATTTTTTTGTCTTTATGTACAAAATACAAAATCTGTACCCTAAGATAACATTGTTGAATATTAGCTCTTGGTTTCCTCTGGTTCCTATGTAGTATTTTCTAATAATACTTTTTTTTTTGCTGTAGCTCAGAAGTCTGATGGCATTACAAATGATTTATGAGGTGACATTATTTGGTTGAAAAGAAAATAATTCTTACCTGAAATGAGACACGAAAAGTGCTAGTCCATAATTTTTACATATGCATTTTATTTTGGGGTTATTTTCAGAAAAAATGAAGAATAATTCTTCCTAACTATCTTGTGATATTCTCATTTCTTAGGTTATCATAATACAGGTCAGGGTGATATGGGTCAGTATAAAGCCTATGTTTTATGATCAGTGTGTATTTAATATTCAGTTAAGTTAAACTGACTTAGTATCTTTTTATAAGTCATTCATGCTTCCTAATTGCCCAAACATTAGCTACAAATGTGTAGAAAAGCTATAATCTTAAGCACTTTGGAGCATGTTTCTCCTGTCTAACACTGGAGTCCTATACCTAGGACAAGAGAAGCACCTACAGAAGTGAAGATGCTCTAGTAATCACTATATAAGTCTTTAGGAATAATCTATTTTATGTGAAAAAGTTGCAGATGACAGGATAAGCTTATTGATTTTTCCATGATGGTAAGTCACAACTGGCATATAACAGCTGGGGTTCATTGTCTCACAAGGATTATGAGAAATACAATTTTTCTAACAAATTAAACTTCACTGCTAGACTAAGGAGTATAGGAAGAATAGCTTTCTTATTTATTTATTTTCTATGAAAGCTTCATATCATAATGACAGCTAATATTCCAATGATGGTAACAATATTGGAAAAGGTAACATTGACCAAGTTCAGATGGCTTCCAGTGCTTGACATATTGCCTATGTGATGTCTAGATAGGTCATTCACCTCTTGATAAGTGAGTTCTTTCATGTCTATAAAGTAACAGAATTGTTTATTATAAGTATATCCATATTGCAATGACAGGAGTCTGTTTATGCCTCACTATGACATTTTCAGTGACAGAATTCAAAGTGTTTTTTAGATATTAATCCAACTTGATTAGAAAACAGCCTTCTATAATGAGATTTTGCATCTGCCTAAGCCCATCATTACTACATTATTACTATCCCAGCCACTGCCAGTACTTGAACTTCACCGAAGTTAGTGTTGGTGGGGAATTTCAAAAGCCTGAGAAAACAAGGAGTGTTTTCAACCCTTTAGTGAGTGCTATCTCCAGAACACAGCTCCCGTTTATCCCATTCTTCAAAAGGAGGGAGTCTGGTTTTTGTGATAGAATAATTTTTAAATCAGTACTTACTGCACTGCCAGAAGCTCTGTTGCTGAAAGTGCTTTCAAATATGCTCCATAGCGACTTGTCACTCCTTGCTTTACCCAATATTGAGAGGAGTGGCAATTCAGGGATGGTGGAATGGACTGGGCAGCCTGACCCGAGGGTTTGGGCCTTACCTCTATCTCGTTCAGCTGCAAAGATCTATTGGGGGGCACATGCTGACACCTGCGTATCCTTTAGGGACAATGCACATGGCCGTGACTCAGATGTGTTCAGCTATACTGAAGTGTCGAGATGCTGGGCTATGACTCTGGGAATTACCCATTTTATAATATCCACTGCTTTCCTCCAGGTGCCAATGCCCACAGGAATATTTCCCACGGTTCAGTTGTATGGGGAAGAGAAAGACATTGTGGGAAAACGTGTGTCAAGTTACATACCTAGTACTTGGCAAGTCTGAGGTAATACTTGCACCTAAAATAACTGCAGCTAGCATAGTGGAAGTAGGTTGGGCGTGCAAAATATTCAGTAAACCCTGAGGTCCTCAAACATTCCTGTGATTAGATATGCCCACTTTCAGATGAAGCAAGGAATAGAAGAAAGGTGAATTTGGCACTTGTTCTAAGAAAAAAAAAAAAAAAAAAAGAACCTTGAACCTACTGAGTTCACAAGCACACGGAAATAAAAATAGCCAATTGAAACTCTTCCAAAAAAGACAGGTGTGTGAATGGCTCCTGCCGAAGGGAGGTATAATTCTGTTTGTATTGCTGTTTTTAAGAAAGACTTTGCTCACCACCTCCCAGAGCATAAATATGGAGATTTTTAATGAAAGCAGCTGCAGGACATCTAAGAACAAGGGTGGTATCATTGGATCAGAATATTTTGACACACGCTATGCTAACCCCATAAGTCAAGCAACAATGATCTGATTTTTCTGGCTATATATTTAATAGCGCATATTACCAAGGCTGAAACATTCTAGACTTTTATGTTCATGTTTGATGACCTTTCTGTTTTAATAGTTTAAGATAGATGCAAATATTTAATTACTATTGTAGGTCAAAATGTGAAAAACTCAATAATTTGGTGAAGATTGTTGTATCAGCTGTATTCCACATTCATCCTAAAGGAGCAACTTTGGAAAAAACTTCTGAGGAGAATCATAGCAATATCTAGGTGGTGTAAGCTTCACAAGGAATTTAGCTAATCAAGCATGGAGCATTATCCTGTGGAAAAAAATAAAATCATTACAAAAACTGACTCTGTGGTGAGAAGCTGGAGATTTTGCGCACTGAACGCTCCAGGGCCCATCCCCGCCTGCAGTGCCCTTGGCGTTGGGACTGCCCTGGTTGTCCCTGGTGTCCTGGTCCCTTGAGGGCAGTGGGACAGGTCCTGACCATGAGGCTCGGCCCTGCCGCCTTTGGGACCCTCTGCTGCCACCAGTCTCTTGGCCACAGGGTGATTCTGGCTTAGCAACATTTTTTTTATGTTAGCAAAAAAAATATGTTTTTTTTTTTTAATCATTTGAGTTCTCAGAGAACTACTAGTAATTCATACTGATTGAGATCCAGACCATTTTCTTTTTTTAAAGGACCCTTCCTCACAAGACTGCCAGCACCGTTTTGGTCCTAGGACCAAAGCTAGGTCCTAAATACAATACAAATACAATCTCTCTTTGAATTCTGTGTTTCTCCAGTCACAATGTCAGTTAAGAAGTCAGGAAGGGTGTGTATGTGTGTGGGCAGATAAATGAACAAGTGAGATTACTTCAGGTATTCCCATAGATTAAGCTACCACCTTTGTGATGATGACTAAAAATCCATTTCTAACCTCTCCCATTTTCATATATAATGCTAGACTTGTCATTGGTGTCTTCCTCAATCACATCTTCTCTATCTCTCTTCCTCCTTCAGTCCACCTGGAGTTCTGCCAGGTCACATAGCTTCATAATGAAACCCATTCCCACAGCCACCAACATGATTCATCCTATGATTTTATTTTCTGTGTTGGCTATTGCAAGTTCTCGCTGTGTATGACCAGATACATTTGCAAAGTCCTTTAAGTCTACACTTGCACAAGTAGTCATATTAGTGATAGGTGCTAGCAACATCCTTTCCTTTCGTTGAGAATTGAGAAGGGAATGGGGAGTAATGAAGTTGCAAAGTTACTCATTTTTGGAAATCTAGACTTTTATCTTAGTTTGTCTTAGTTTGTTGTTGTCTTGCAGTTTAAAGGGTCCAAGTATGAAGAAGCCAAGGTGTCTGTGTGGCTCCACATATCTCTCTGAGTGATATATGATGAAAGACAGGATTCCAGGCTGCTATTTTTGATGTTATAAAGGTTTTATTTTATTCCTACTCTCCAGTAAGTCTCTTCTCACTGGCCTCTTGAAAAAGAAAAGCAAACATCATATATACGCAGATTTTCCTAGTTAACGTGATATATTCTCCTATCTGCTGAATGATCTTGGGGCTATTTCTATCTATTTCTCTAAGTAGGTTTTGGGAAATGCAGTCACAAGAATTACTATTTATTTATATATTTACTATTATACAGTCGTTCTAGAAGACCATATTTTGTTCAGTTTCTCTGAACAAAGAGAACTATCTGAATAGCCAAAAACAGAAACACAAGTTGTTGACTGAAGAGCACTGCCAAGACAGACCAAGCACCTGGCCATTATTATTGACAAATGACCTAGTTTATAAATCCCTAAAAAAAAAAAAAAAAAAAAAAAAAAAAANAAAAAAAAAAGGGAGCGGAGAGAGGAACAGAAAAAAAAAAAAGAATTAAGAACAAACTCATAACATTTTCCCTGTCCATCCTCCTAAGTCTCCAGTGACACTTGCAGAGTTAAAAAACAACAAGAAATAATTAATAAGAGATAAATCCCAGTATTTAGATTCAGCAGAAGATTTGGGATAAAGACAGGGAAAGGCTTTTGACTTCCAGGCTATAACAAAGAAGGTTCAAAGCTGCCCTTTGAAGTGTCTTCCATTTTTCCACCCACCTCAGCTGAGGAGCTTGGTAGCTGTGAATAGATCCACAGCTTGGTAGCTGTGAATAGTTTGTATTCTTGCCTGTGCTCTGTAGCAGAATGCAGGCTGTAGGATACAGGACTCTGTGCAGAGTGTGCAGAGACTGTGGGCTTGGGCATGGGATTTCCAGGTTAAACTGCTTCCCATTTTTCTGCTTTTTTCCCTAAACATATCATTGCTTGGAGAGGGTCATGGTCTTCTGTAGTCACTGAACCCAAAGGCTCAGCTTAGTCATGAATCAAGCATATAAAGAACTGGTGGCCTTGTTAACATGGAGAACCTTTTCTTGTAATAAAGTCTAGCAGTGACACAAGAAACTCGTCCTATGAATAATTAGAGCCTCCCCATTTTTTCCTATGAATGCAATTTGGTCAATATTTGAAAGTGAGAGAAGAATGCCTATTTCAAAGGCAATGGTTACTTTTTTAGCCTAAATTTTCCAAGACTTCCTGAATTTTTGGTGTGATCTGTTATCACAGCATAATGAGAAGAGTCATTTGTTCTCACATATAGAGTGAAGAGATAAATTTACTGTTTTCTTATTGCATTGTTTGCTTCCTTACGCAGATACTCCTTTCAATGAGTGAGATGAGAAACAATCCTGGAGTATCATAATTTGAAAGGACAAGAGACAAATACCTTGCTGTTTGTATCACCTTTCTTGTCCCTATAAAGTGACTGTTATCATCTGGATGACATTTTTTCCTGTCTACTTATTAGACAGGTTCTGCAGAGGGGAGTGATGCTGCAATCATATTGACCTGGAAAATTCTGCAGAGCTTTTATAACAAATTCTAAAACCTTCTTACAAGTACTAATGAAAAGCATTTCACAACCTTCTCGTCAAACAGGTAAGCATTATTATCACCTTTTGATGTCTGAAAGAACTGGAACAGAGATTATCTGAGTTGCTCAAAGTCAGGTCACAGAACCGTACAGCATCCATCTACCTGTGCCCAAATGTATAAAATGCTGCAATTTCCCAATCCATTTAATTTTACTCACAAAGAAGATTAGTGTAATGGTGAGGAATATAAATATCAGTTTAATCTGTGTGACATGGATTAGTACTTTTTCGGTAGCAATTTTATGAAAAGGTTTCAGAGAAGTAGCAACACAGAAAATGGGTGATGTGTCTGGTGTCAGTAGAGGCACTGAGACACTGGGCTCACATTTCTGCACCCTGATGCCTATCTGTGCAGGATAGTGAGTGCACAATTCTAACTATTGCTTGATCCTCACTATTTTTAGAAAAGTATCAAACAAGTTCGTGTTTGCCAAATCTGCTTCCAGGTAAAATTCAGCTTTAAAGCCAGTTAGTTTTTTATGCAAGGATTCAAAGCAATGCTTTCAGGGAGAAAAATATAGTAGCATTTTGTGCTCCCTCGCGCCTTCTCTGTTGTTTCATTTGATATGCCATGATGCTGTCATACCATTCTGTGGCAACTGTATTTCAATTGTTTTTTTGTTTGTTTTGGAAACTTTTGAGGATGAAAGATATATTGCCCCTAAATGATATTATTTTCTATTGTTTTCCAATGCACAATAAGCATCTATTTAAATATTGCATCTACTTGATCTGTATTTTATTGATGTTTGGTACTTGTATTTCAAGAAACGTAATACATTAAGAAATCACTCTACATTCAGGAGAGAAGGAACATTCAAATGTAATTTGGAAAATGTGGGTGTACTTAGACTGTCAGGGTATCCATAGCAGAGGTCCTGTATGGATCTGTATGGAACTATTTGGATCCTACAACTTGTGTCATCACCTTCCTGAGGTTTTGACAGTTCTCCAGCACCAGGAAAGGGGCTGCAGGAGGTAAAACCTTGGCTGTGACTGATTTGCTGATTGAGTTGCCCTGGGGTTGGAGGAATTCTTGCTTTCTCCCTTTTGAGTGTCAACACTGAAGTACATTAACGTAATTCCTGCACTTTTAAAATTAGCTTCTGAGATTCAAGGTTTTCCTAAATGATTAAAAATCTACTTGGGCTGTGAGGAGGAGGCTCTCATGGCATCCCAATATCCTGGTTCTTTTTCTGTACCATTGCACACAGCTCCTCTCTGTTCTTTACACCTGGTGGTTATTGCTGCAGACAGAGCTCTGTTGTCATGTATGGCATAATGGGCCATTGCAGCAAATTATTCTACTGTTTTCAATCAACATCATAGTCAAAAATTTCTGTGTCAATTGGCTGCAAAGGAGTACAGTCCCTTCTCTGACTGCTTATGCTTGTGTGCAGCTCTTGTCACTCCTATTGCAAACAGATTAGTCAGTCCTACTTGCAGAAATATTATTACACCATCAACTACTTATTGCTAAATGATCTATATTTTGACATTCTTTATGGAGACTATTGAAAATCTCCAAGAACAGGGAAAGATACATAAATAAGAATGAAGGTAGTATAATACTGTAACTCAAACTGATTCTATGATAGAAAATACTATATAAATATATAAACTTTGATAAAAAAAAACTTTTCTTTCTCTAGCTTGTTTATTTATCATGTGGGCCCACTTGGGAAAGTGTGTTTGTCTCTCAGGAATCTAAAAGAAGAGAAAGCTTTTGTTGGCTCTTCTTGATGCTACCTTAACATATGTAAAAATATATGTATTTTTTAAGACAAAGATATTATTGCCCTTATATTTTGCATGGCTGTTCTACAATGATTTCTTCCAAATGGGAGCATCATTCCTGCAATCCTATTGTAGACATAAATTCTACTGGTCAGGCTGAAGGAAGCTTCTGCCTAAAGGCTGACTGCTACGAGGAGTTGTATGCCCTGAACTCCCACTGCCTCCAAGGAGAACTCGAGCATTGAAAAGAAATGCTCATTTTAGAACAGAACTCTGCTACCAGTAGTGGGGTTGTGGGCAGGTGTTTTTGAGGCAAGTCCCACCACACACAGAGTGTGCAGTTAAAAATGGGTGGCCCAGTTGGTTGGTTGTCTAACTTCAATGTCTGGGTATGGATGGTAACTGCTGTTGAGCTTTTTCTCTGGTATGTGTGTCAGGGATTGAACAAAAATTATTCTTCTTCTATTCAATTTATGGAGTTTAGCATCTATGTATCAAAAGCCCGAGGAATAGTTGTCCCTATGCTAGTTTCAGTTAGTGTCAAAATCTAACATAACTACTCTTTCCAACTTTTTTGGGAAATCAGAAGTTTAACCACATAATGCCACCAAAATCCTGTTATCTACAATTGAACTTCCACTGACTCAGGTTAACAAAGTTTGTGTAAATGCTGTGTAAGTGATGCAAAAAAAGAGTTGGACTGTATCACTACTTGTCTTTCCATATCCTTTCTGGATAAAAAAAATACTTACATCAGTGAAAACACATCTTGCTTCATGTCATTTACCTTTATCTTTAATAAATTTTATAATTTATTATATTTTCTCTGTAAAAGAGAGATGGAAGCTCTCTGTGGCAAAGAACTTTGAGTTCCTTTCTGGCCTTCAAAACATTGCTTAGCAATTACAGGACTGAATGTTCCTCTTTGTTTCTCTGTACATCAGCACACTGACATTTTATCAGTGACACGAATTTTCCGTATGACTGTATTTAGTTACTAAAATCTGCCTGCATATAACTGTTTCAAAGTAATCTGCTCTCAGAATCACTATTATCCTTTAAAATGCTTGCAACTATGAAAACCCATGGACAGATGTTTCCTAATGAACAATGTGTGCCATTACCAGTTACATGTGAGCAGCATAAATATGAACTTTTCAAAACAATACACATTTTGTGGACAAGTTTCTCCAAACTAGCGAGTGTCCTCACCAAAAGCAATTTCCTGGCAGAGTGTAAGGGTACAACAGCTGTTTGAGGAAATGTGCCTGCCATGGGAGTGTTTTTATATATCCTCTCTCTCTATATATATATATGTATTTTTTTTGAAGACCACCCACCCAAATGCAGTGGGAACTCACAAAATAACGTACAGGGAAAGTCACATGCAGAAAAGGATCCTTCATGAGGAATGGGATATCACTGTAATTGTGGTGTCACTAATTGTGGGTGCCAGGCTTCTTGTTTAGGGAGCTGATTAAGTTAGTTGTCTAGGAGCTGGGTGCATTCAACAGGAGGGAAAGATGCTTTTCTGGGTCTGTATCTCAATAGCAGAGTAAGCATGATTTTTGCAGGGATTGCAAAGCCCCATTGAATCATCTAGACACATACTTATGCAGCATTTTGGCCAACATTTTTTAAAAATCAAACCAAGCAGGAGCAGCTTTAGAACAATACTTTCTTAACAAGCACTTTGCAGTTAGGTGCTTTTAGATACGTAGATATATTATTGGAGAGGAAAAAAAAACATTTCATGCATCATTAGTGACTACCTTTGCTCATTTGTTCAGCTTAGCTTCTTCATTTATCACAGAGCATTAAAAAAGTCAGTGAGTTAGATGTGAGGCTTCACTCATCATCAGTATTTTTCTGTTATTCATTACTTATTTTTCTTACAGGATAAAGGAGAAAGCATGTTCTATAACTACTGGAAAGGAGGTTGTAGTGAGATGTGGGTCAATTTCTTCTCCAAATTAACTACCCACAGGACAAGAGGAAATGGTCTCTCTTTGTTCCAAGGGAGGTTCAGGTTAGATATTAGGAAAAATTTATTCATGGGAAGAGTGGTGAAGCCTTGGAAGCCCTAGGCTTGGCTGCCCAGGGAAGTGGTGGAGTCACCGTCCCTAGCGGTGTTCAAGAGACACGTCAATGAGGCACTTAGGGGCATGGCTTAACAGGCATCGTGTTGGGGAGCTTTTGGTTGGACTCAATGATCTTGAAGGTCCTTTCCAACTGCAATGATCCTATGTTGATACAATGACACTATAAAATGCTATACAAAGATGTCTCTGGGCATTTTTATGTATTCCAGAACATGATATACTTTTTGGCATAAAAACTCTTGCTAAAACAGAAAGGTTTTGGAATTTCTTTTCAATAGAAGTGAAAGAGATTTATTTCTTTGCCTTCTTTATGCTAGACAGAAAATATTAAGGAAAACAGATCGCAAAACAAATCATTATTGTTGCAAGCATATTCTATATGTATGTATTTGTATTTTATTTTATTACTTTCTTCCCAGAACAAAGAAGGCAAAGAAACTAATGAAAATAGAGGCCAAAGAAATAGCATGTGAGAGCATGTGTGTCTGCATGCAATAATTTATATACTAACTTCATTACACAGTAATATGAACCATCTAAGCAGCAGTGTTCCCCTACCTCATTACACTGTGCACAGTTAAAAAATATAGCTTTATATTAGACACTTTATTATATTCTTTGCCATCTGAATCTTTTGCCTCTTTCATTGTTCTGCTCATCTCAATCTAAGACATAGTTCTGATTTTGATCTCAGACTACTATGAATCCAAAATACATCTAACAACTTCAAAGAAGTTTATTTCTACTTTACATGGTTATAACTAAGATAGAAATCTGACCCATAGGCACATTCGTTTTATAGCGAGTTAAAACATGTACACTTACTACTATCAAATCCTTAAGACTAACAGACATATATGTGTTGTTAGAACAGCAGCTATGATACTTTTTTTCTTGCATCCAGGGCTATTTTTGGCCCTTTCCCCTTTGACACACATTCCTGGTAACAATTAAAAGTGTCTCCTCTAACCACAAAATCAAAACTGATAGCCTAGGATTTTATGTAGCGAATGCATTTTTTATTGAGCTGCTAATTTTTGTTCAGGGAATAGAAATGCAAGGTCTGAGTCTCCCAATACTTGCAGTGGTG